TAAATATTTGATATAATTAATATATTTTATTAATTTATTTTTAATTATAATTATTACTTTTTCTAATTAAAGATCTTATTTTATATTTTATATTAAAATATTTTAATCAATTAATAAAGATCTTAATAGAAATAATACCTAATTATTTTCTTTTTTAGCAAGTCTTAATGATTAAAGATATCAAAATAATAATAATTATAATTGATTATCTGACTAATACTAATTTCTTAATATAAAATCAAAATTTATTTGATATTATTTTATATATTTTTTTTTTGATAAGTTTCTTTAACTTTAATTCTTAATTTATTATTTAAATTTTCTGATAATAATAAAAAATTATCAATATGATGAGAACTTTTCTGATTAGGATATATATTTTCATCTTCATCAAATAATCTAAGTTTTCTTTATTATTAAATTAACTTCATATTTTATATTGATAAGTAATTTTTCATCTTTGAATTTTTTTTTATTTCTCATTGAACTGATATTTTCTCTTTTAGTAAGTAAGTTTTTAATTATCAAAGATATTAAAATGATGATAATTATGATTGATAATTTAATTAATGTTATTACTTAATAATTCTATATTTTTTATTGACAAGTTTCTTTAACTTTAGTTCTTGATTTATTATTTAGATTTTTTAGTAATAATAAATAATTATATCAATATAATAAGAACTTTTCTAACTAGATACATATTTCTATCTTTATTAGATAATCCAAGTTTTTTTTAACATTAAATTATTTTCATATTTTATAATAGTAAATAATTTTTTGTCTTTGAAATTTATTTTTTTTTATTTCTCATTAAACTGATATTTTCTCTTTTAGTAAGCTAATTTTTAACTATTAAAGATATCAAAATTATAATTAATAATTTGACTGATATTATTACTTAATAAAAAATATTAATAATTCTATATCTTTTCATTAATAAGTTCCTTTAATTTTAATTCTTGATTTATCATTTGGATTTTCTGATAATGATAAATAATTATTAATATAATAAGAACTTTTTTGACTGAATGCATATTTTCATTGTTATCAGTAGTAATAGGAGCTGCAACTAGTCATAACTCTGTTACAATTTTTTGATTGGCTACTATAACTCTATCACAATTTTCTGATTAGCTATCATAAGCTGCAACTAGTTAAAGAGTTATCTTTAGTTATCAGATAATTTAAGTTTTCTTTATTATTGGATTATCTTTATGTTTTATATTGGTAAGTAATTTTTTATCTTTGAAATTTTTTATTCCTTATTAAACTAATATTTTTCTTTTTTAATAAGCTAGTTTTTAATTATTAAAAATATTAGAATTATGATTGATAATTTGGCTGATACTATTACTTAATAAAAAATATTTGATAGTTCTATATTTTTTTATTAATAAGTTTCTTTAACTTTAGTTCTTAGTTTATTATTTAAATTTCTGATAATGATAAATAATTATTAATATAATAAGAATTTTTCTGACTGAATATATATTTTCATTACTATTAAATAATCTAAATTTTCTTCACTATTAGATTATCTTTATATTTTATATTAGTATATAATTTTTTATCTTTGGAATTTATTTTTCATTTCTTATTAAACTGATATTTTTTTTAGCAAGTTAATTTTTAATTATCAAAGATATTAGAATTGTAATTGATAATTTAACCAATACTATTACTTAATGAAAAATATTTGATGATTTTATATCTTTTTATTAATAAGTTTCTTTAACTTCAGTTCTTGATTTATTATTTAAGTTTTCTGATAATAACAAGAAATTATCAATATAATAAGAACTTTTCTGATTAAGATGTGTATTTTCATCTTTACTAGATAATTCAAGCTTTTTTTACTATTAAATTAACTTTATATTTTGTATTGATCAGTAATTTTTTACCTTTAGAATTTATTTTTTTTTCATATCTCATTAAACTGATATTTTCTTTTTCAATAAGCAAGATTTTAATCATTAAAAATATTATAATAATGATAATTATAATTAATAATTTGATTAATGCTATTACTTGATGATTTTATATCTTTTCATTAATAAGTTTCTTCAATTTTAGTTCTTGATTTATTATTTAAATTTCTGAATAATTATTAGTATGATGAGAACTTTTCTAACTAGATATATATTTTCATCTCTATTAGATAATTCAAGCTTTATTTGCTATTGAATTATTTTTATGTTTTGTATTAATAAGTAATTTTTTCACTTTTAAAATTTCTTTTAAGCATTTTGATCAATTCAAAATCAAAGTTTAACTATTTCTTTTGAATAATAATAATTGTAATTAGCTCAAGTTTGAGAAAGTAAGCAAAAGTAAGCAAGTAAACAAGTAAGAAAGTGAGAGTGAACAAGTTAATAACAATCAAGTAGATAATCTTATAAGTAATTAAATAAATAATTAAAAAGATAATTGAATAAGAAAGAATAAGTAAGCTTTAACTATCAATAAGATAAAGTGAGAATTTAATAAGTCTTATTTTATTTGAATATTCTTAATATTTAAATTATTCTTGAGTTATATTATAAATAAAAAAACAAAATGCAAGTTTATAAATTATTCTTGAGTTATATTATAAATAAAAAAACAAAATACAAGTTTATTCTTAAAGTTCAAATTATTTTTGAATTACATTGTAAATAAAAAACAAAGTATTAAGTTTATTATTCTTGAATTATATTGTAAATAAATAATAAATGCATGACATTCTCGTTCTAACCTTAAAGATATCAGGGCAGACTCCAGGAACTCCGGAAAGACAGATTGTGATCGGAAGTCACATGATCTGTCATTTTTTTTCTGTTTTACTTTGTTACTAAAAATTTTTCACATCATACATCAGCCGCTATGTATCAACAACGCGTCTTCTCCAGACCTCATCTTGTCCCCATGCACCTGCCGCACCAACCTGTGTTATAAACGCAAGTTGCCCATTATCAGTTTCTTTGGTCCATTCTATTCTCTTCACAAAAGTTTTCTACATTCTACACGTAAGTTCGACATAGGCCGCGTTGATTACCTCGCGTGGTGAAATTTTGCTCATTTGCACAATTTACAGTTTGCCTGGTTGCCCGCGCCATTTTAAATATTAGGCATTTCTCAAGTTGAGTGCTCTTCTAGTTTATGCTTTTACTAGCATCCATGGTATCCTACGCTCGTATGGTTAGCCCTGGACCGATGTTTGGATTAGAGGTCGCAGGATAATCATTATAACTCGCTCTCTGGCTTATAATGCCTACTCCTGGATGCTCTCTTCCAGTATACCAAACAACTAAGTATCCTACGCTCGTATGGTTAGCCCTGGACCGATGTTTGGATTAAAGGTCGCAGGATAATCATTATAACTCGCTCTCTGTGGCTTATAATGCCTACTCCTGGATGCTCTCTTCCAGTATACTAGCTTGTTAACGGATGCTATTGCTTTGTTTTCATTGCGATAAATTCCACTTTCATCATATCTACTAGCAGCAATACTCATAAGGCTTTTTTCCAAACTAAACAATAATATGGATTTCGACCATTATGTTGCCGATTACCAAATGATCTCTGATCCAAAAAATTGGAGCGCTCTGGATTGTCTACATTCTCTCAAAGAACGCGTAGATTTTAGCTCTGATAGCAAAAATGACATCCTTAAGGCGTTTAGAAGAAGATTTAAGAATGTCAGTCAATCTACAGCAATACTAGCTGGACCCAAAAAGAAGGCAGGAAGGTTACATGCGACCACCAAAGAAAGTTTCAAGAGAAGGGAAATCATAGACTTCTTTGAAAAGCAGGACCAAGCATTCGCGATGGTATGTAATTGCCCATTTGCAGGATTGGTTTGTTACATTATATTTCAATAACAACTATTGTTTATAGCGAAAAAATGACAGGGATGTTTTCCAAGCCGTTGATAGCGCAAAAGCAGCGATCGCAAAGTCCGCAAAAACGCAACTTATGAGAGTGAGCACCACTTCATTTTGTTTTTCAGTAGAGATGAGTGTACTTTGGCTTTTCATATCGATATTGACATGATTTAAGACGTTAGACGGGCCTATAATAGAAGGCCACATCAGTGTTGCTGGGCATAAGCGTGTAAGTCAATTGTTCTTATTAATTCATTTGCTCCTATGAAATGGTGCTAAATATATTGTATTGGCATAGCAACGAGATCCTGCAGAAGATGATACAGATGACGATACCGAGGATGATACGGAGGGCAAAAACAAGACACTGAAAAAAGTGAGTATTAAGCATGTTATTATTCTGGAAAAGTCCTTCCATTATTACGCTCTAAGAAGATTCCGTTACAGAATACGCTCCCAAGGCTTCAGCAAGAAACCAACACTCTATTACATGAAGATACAGTCACCCATTCCGCTGAGCATGACGATTGCAACGCTGAGGGCGAACCCCACAGAAATGTGGCAGAGGATGAAAACGTAACGGTAAGAGTTTAAGGTTCCGTAGCTTTAGTTGGGCCCATTTGGATTTTTCGACAAAAGGAGAAATTAACATTAAGGTACTTACTTTACACCCGATTTAAAGGAGGATATCGATGATCAAGCCCTCTTGGCGAGGAATCTTTTAGATGAAGCGCAAGAAATTCCATTAGAGTTAAAAAACCTTCTTGACGCCTTTCAAACATATTGTCAGGGATCAGAGAACTTGTTGACGAGCAACGGTATAATGGACCTTAGGCCGTCGTCAGAATTTGTCCTCTCCTATACAGACGAATGTGATTACAACGAGTTGCTTAAACGTACCTTCAATCCCATTGATGAGATATTCCCCGAAGCAGCTTTCACTTTTCTCCTTGAATTTTTTTCCAAGGTACGAATTATCATAAAAGAAATAGTAATAATGATTATCGTAAATCCGACTTATCACTCTTCATTTTCTTAATAGAGTCTAACTTGTCAGCATTGGTATGACGAGATCGAGAGATTGCTGGATCCAGAACATGATCCATTTATTAAAAATATGAAGAGGTTCATGTTTGAGGTTCTTCCTATCTTGTAGGTAACTGCACTGCCTTTCTCTTAAGAAGATATTCTAATGTGGTTTTTCTTTGCTTCAGTCTTGATGCGTTTGCTATGGGATCTGAAAACCCAATGAAGGAAAGGAATATGGGAGAAGAGGAGTACATGACAGCATTCATCCATCCCATGTTGAAGAAAGCGCTTGGAAGATTTGCGAACCTGCGATATAAGCTGTAAGTGAAAATCGTTTCCGATTGCATTTGTACCTAAACAACTTAATCTTTTTATTTATAATTTTAATAATTTTATTAATAAATAAAATTAATTAAAAAATTTATATTTATATTTTAGAGGGTCTTATTGCTGCCCTTGGAGCCCTTACCAACCATATGGCTGACCAAAATAATCGGCCTATGGAGAAAATCATTATTCCTATTAGAAAGTATTCGAAATTGGAAGGAAAGTTTCAACAAACTCATTATTAAAGTTCTCAATGGACTTTTGATTGGAGAGGACCTGCTGCAGAATGTTGGTGTCATCATAAATTCTTTACAATTTTAGACTTTTTGTTTACTCACAGAAAATATTGGAGCAGTATCAATCAATCAAATCACATATTTATTACAAATGGATTTTCTTTTTGATAAAGAGGAACTCTTTTGTACTCTGCTAGTGGTGATAAAGCGATAGAGGCGTCTGTATACTGAAAATCAATTACAGCGCAATCGGGAAATCCGGATAGAGCAGACGGTATCGCCTACACGTCAAACAAGAAGCCTTACGAAATATGTGTGGTCGAAGGGAGCAAACCTTACGATACTGAGAACGGAAAAGAAACACAAGATTTCATCCAAAACGCCCGTGCCGCAAAAGATATGATTAATTTTCTAGTAACTCAAGAAGTCAAGCAGAAAAGGGCTCTGCCAACATTCTTTCGAACCTTCATGGTCCAAAGTTTCGAGACAAGTCTGCGCTTCTATTTTATGGATTACCTAAGTACTGTATACAGTGTATATATATTATATTGCATTGTTTACTGAGTTTACGGAAACTTTTTTTAGGTTTTTACAGAATATTTGAGATTGAAGCCTGTGAGCTCCCAGTAGATCTGGCGGAAATGAATTTGTTTCCTTTTCTTTTCCGTGCGGTCATTACATGGGCGGTAAGTCCAAGAACCTTAGGCCGACGCAGAATTAGTTTTTAGTAATTACTTTTAACTCCTATTCTAGATCCTGGCAGGAAATACTGATAAAGAGTTTCAAACATTTCGGAATTCCAAACGAAGCTCAAGAGTCAGTAATGCACATAATTTGAGAGTGCTTGCTCGATTGCAGCATAACAAGGCACGTCCAGGCAACAAAAAAAGAAAAATATAATTTAGATTCATAGTAGCTTATTCATTTAATATGTAGTGACCATAGCGGAAGCATAATCTGATGTGATAATCGACTCAACGTGTATTTACAGTAGCTCACTTAAGAAATGGAACACGAAAAATTTTACGAAAAGAAATTCTAGTGACTCTAACATCGATTCAGA